GGTTAAGGTCTCCTCCCATAATCAGTGTGCCCTCGGCGAACCTCATCAGAGCTATCATGACCCTGCGGAGAAAGTGGTATTGTTTCGTGTTTGGGGCATATATGTTCGCAAAGGTGTATTTCTGGTCATGGATGGTGCCTTTTGTGAAGATGTACCTCCCTGATGAGCATCGGAGCGTGTCTTGTTCAATGTATGGGGTCCATCTGGAGAATAGGATGCCCACTCCCAGCGTGCGGTGCTGTGGATTATTGCTGAAGTATCCCACTGGGAAGTTGCGGTCCTGGAGTGATGATGCCCAGAGGCTTTGAAAGTGGGTCTCCTGGATGTATGCTACCGACGCTCTGTACCGTTTCAAGTCCCTGAGAAGCTTGGTACGCTTTTCACGGATGTTGAGTCCATGAACGTTATACGTAACAACGCTCAGGTCCTTTCTGATGTGGTGGGCCTGTCCCGGGGCTTGCCGGCCCGGGGCGGCTGCCATATGGCGGGGAGTGGTGGGTAGTGGGAGGGTGTGGGTAAGGGGTAGCGGGTGTGTGGTGGGTTTGTCTGTGAGTTCGTCTTGTGCCTCTCTTGGTGTGCTCTCCGTTTAGGCTGGGGGTGTGGACAGGTATCCAGACGGTGCGTCCCTGGGTTCCCGTGCTCTGGGTGCCCGGGGTTACCTCCGAAGTATGGTACCCCTCTAGCGTAGGGGTGGGTTTCGTCCTATGCCCTCTGGGGGTGAGTCGAGGGCCGTTTCGCCTCCGGCCCTAGTGGTCTGGATTGTCTCCTGTGCCCTCTTGGCACGGGTTGGGTCTGTATGCCCCGTCCGATTGGTGTGGCCGTGGGTAGTGGGCTAGACAGTGGCTGTGGTTGTGGCTCGTGGTGGTCTCTACGAGTGATTCGTGGCTGCACCTGTCAGTGTTTTTCCTTTTTTTTATTTTTTTATTATTATGGTTATTGTATTTTTCAGCAAGGTGGCATTGTTGGCGGGCTTCCTGCAGTTGTATGGGTTTGGTGCCTGATTCTCCATCTATATATATATGTTCCAGGTTTGGCGGGAACGGTGCGTGGGTACCTAGTGGTCCGCGTGAGGAGTGGCTACGTGTGGTTTCTGGGGGTGGTGGTCTAGCGCTGTGGGGGCCACCCTATGTCTCTTCCCCTCATTAGGGCTGGTCCCTGGCCTGCAGCATGCGTGTGTTGCTTGGGATCTAGAGTAAGTGGAGTTAGGTGTTGTTGGGTCCGGTTTGGAGGTGTGTGGGGGGTGTTCCCACTTTTACCCGTCTCCCCTCCCTGCTCCAGTTGCATTGGGGTTGGCTTTGAGGGGTGGGATTGTAGTTCCCCTGACCCTATTTTTTTTTTTTTGTTATACAGATTAATATAAACAAGGTAGCATTATGATTTTCCTCCCCCTCCCCTCCCCTCCTATCTTGCTCCCGCCCCTTTCTCTTCCCCGTGTCTCCCCATGCTCTCTCCCATGTGTCCCAGCGGTTCTTGTGTTCTGCGTGTTTTCCTAGAGTGTCAATAAGGCCGCTATTGCTGTGTGTGTATCTGCTTCGTGTGTATGGTTCGACCCTCTCCCCTTGTCCCTCCGGATACCCCTGTCAGTAGTTCCCTAACATCACCTTGGCCTGATCCCTTTCTCCCTTACTGCTGTGGAGCGTGGCGCTCCCGTGTGGGAGTGTAATTCGCGTCTCTAGTCTCTGAGCCATGAAAGGGTCCGGGTCCAATAGTGGAGTTCGTAGTGCGGCTTACGAGTGCCATGGTGCGGTCCCGGTTCCCATTCCCCCACCCAAACGATGTCATCCCCCCGTCTCCCGCTCCATCAGGCCGGTGGGTGTTCGTGGGGCCATCGACCCCCGGTTGTAGCGTCTCGCTGCTGGAGTGGGGGATGGTGGCCGGGTGTTTGCACGTGCTGTTCGTGCCCTTTCCCCTCCTGCAGTGTGGGTAGCCCCCCCTTCCCCTACGCGCCCCCCCGTGGACAAGTAGCCAATGTCCCCCGTATAGATATAGTGCCCTTACTCACTGTTGTGCGGTGTGTTGCATGCACCGTTCCTCCGTCCTGGCTGGGTTTCGTATTGCGGCTGTTATTCTTCGGGTCTGCCCGGGCCAGGGCGTCCCGAGGGTCTGCGCTGATCCCTACTTGCTAGCCTGGCAGGTGGTGGCAGTGGAGGGCCCGTTGCTTTCTGTATGAAGTGGTGGGTCAGCCAATTCTGGACTCTGGCAGACGGGAGACCCAGTGCCCGTTGAAATCCCTGGACATCCGCCGGTGCCTTGATGGTGTGTAGCTCTTGTCCCCTGCATGCGGAGAGGGAAAAGGGGTACCCCCAGCGGTACTGGATACCCGCTGCCTGGAGTGCTGCTGTTACTGGTCGGAGGTTCTTCCTGGCTTGCAGTGTGTAGCGGGAGAGGTCTTGGAAGACTGTCACTTCTTGATCTTCCAGCCTGATGCGGCCCATTCGATGGGCGTTGCGGAGAATATCCTCTTTGAGGGTAAAGTTATCCAGGCAGCAGATGATGTCACGTGGTTGTTCCCCCATCGCTGGGGGTGCGCGGAGTGCGCGGTGGGCTCATACAAGGCCTATTCTGGGTTGTTGTCCCCCCAAGGCTAGGCTGAAGACCGTGAGGAGGATCTCTGGGATGTTTTCATTGGGACCCATTTCTCTGACCCCACGCACCCTGAGGTTCATTCTGCGGCTCCTGTTGTCTAAGTCGTCGACCCATGTTGTGATATGGGTCAGGCTCGCTTCGCAGCCTGTGATCGTGGAGACCGCAGCATCGGTTTCTTCGCAGAGGGCCCGTGTGTCTGCTTCTGTTACTGTCAGCCTGGCATCCATGTTGGCGATATCAGCCTTCACCTGGGACAGCTCACAGCGGATCACCTGGCTGAGGCAGTCTGACAGCGCCTCTAGGTCTGCCTTCGTGAGTAGGGTGGGTAAGATGGCTCTGAGGTCACTCTCCAGTGCCCCCTGAGTGTCAGGTGGGTCTGATGGTGTCGGGGAGAATTGCACGGGAGTTACTGGGGGTGAGTCCGCGGTCGAGCCTGGTGTCAGATCGAGGTCCCATGGCGTGGTGAGATAGGAGCGGATGGAGTGCTCCGCCCCGGTCCCCGATGGTCTGGGGGTGCCGAGGGGGTCTGTCTGTTTCCTAGTGCACCCCATGCTCGATGTTGGATGCGGGTGGTGCGCCGGTAGATGCGATTTGTTGCTGAGACCACGGGGAGCTGGTGAGTTAAGCGGCCATCTTCTTCGGCTGCTAGGCACGCCCCCCCCCCGGCAGTAAATGTTTGGACATATGTGCCCATGTCTTTGACAAATGAATCTCCAAAGAGGAAACCTTTAGCTTGAGGGCCTGGTTCTGTAATTGCTATGTGAATGAGCTTAGGCTCTATATTTAATAGGATAGATTTACGGCGCTCTGTGGTGAGAGCGGTATTAGCATTGCCAATAAGGCATATCATTCTTTGGATCCAGCCTCTAATCGTGAGTCGGTCTAGGGCCTCATCTTGGGCCAAGGATTCTTCCACAGCTTCAAATATTTTGGTTGCTGGTCCTGATATATCTAGGGAGTTATATAGGGCAGTTATATAGGGAAAAATCCAAGCCTTTCTTAGGCTTCCATCCAGTTTTAGGAACTGGATAATTTGGGGGTCAACTAGGGGGGTCTTACAGGCCTCGTCAGGTACAGTGAGGCGTGGGCATTCTGCATTTGGGCCGCCTTATCTAGAAGCTTGCGGACCCGAGATGCCACATATTGTGCCACATGTTCAGCCGGCGACCATTCCGCTGAGCGGGTGAGGCGTAAATCATTAGGCTCAAATAAGGGTTTGCCCTGTGGGTCGAGTATTTTATCCCCTTTATTTAAGTCAGGGTTAGATGTGCCTGTGGTATGTAACTCGGTAGAGGGTTTTGAATCCTCAGTAAATCCGTAGTCTGAATCTAAGTCAGATAAATCATTTGACTGGTCTGATTGTAATGAAAATGCACTCTGAGTTCAGACTCAGTGTAATCTGGTTGGGCTTTTGCCCATTTCCAATGCCTAGCCGCTTTTGCCCAGCTAGAGGCTCTATTGCGCGGTGGATTATTCATGCCATCCGTGACAGGTTTAGAACTGTCCATCTGTTTTTTGGATGAGTGCTTTATTTTTGCTGAGGCCTTGCGGCCGGGGTGTGAAGGATGAGAGATTGTAGGTATCGCGGCTGGCATAGCTGCCGGAGTGACTGTTGATGTGGCTTGTAATATCGTGTGTGCGAAAGATTTTAATATGGATGAGGACATAATGTCCATTGCAGATGCCAAAGCTTTTGACACAGTAGTGTCCATAATTGCCTGAATTTCCTCAGATGCAGTAAAAGTCAGCCTCATCCCCAATAATCATATGAGGCAAAACTATGGGAGTTTGGGGTTAGATTGAGCCCCAGATGGCCCAGGTAATTCCGTAGGGGACTGCATATTAAGGTAAACTAATGGTAGTAAAGGCAGAGATATTTATTAAAACAAATACAGGTGAACTGAGTTAAGTAACCCAGAAGAGAATTGCCTTAGTAAAAGAAATGCCTTATGGTAAAAGCAGAAATAAGCCTTTATTGACTAAACTATTAAATAGGGAAAGAGCATAAAAAGAGAACCGTCCGCCACTAATTCTGGACACCCACTCCGTATCTGAGTACAAAGGGCGGGAAGTGATAAGAAAACGGCCACCGCGGAAACAACAAACACCTGAAGATGACCGCAGCGGCAAAAACGGAGCGCAGGGTCTAGAACAAGGTGACCGCAGTGTGCACTAGCCCAAGAAGCATGCCAGGAAACTCGGTAATGGCTGAATCCGTTCCGAACGCATGCAAAGATGGTGAGCGCCCATTTCATTCTTCATGTATAGAAATTTGACAAATTGATTTTCTATGTCTTTAGCACCTTTGAGACAGCATGGTAGCCTGGGAAATAAAATGTCCACCATCATGGCATGCCATTTCCAAAAATAGACAGCACAGGGTATGCCAAATGGGGTGTTTAGAGCTGTGTGGTCTAGTCACTTTAGCACAAATGCTGGCCACATTTAGTGGTTATACTTTCATTTGTGTTTTTTCACACATATGAATTCCAGTTTCACAGGAAATGTCATAATCCATATGTGTATATAATAGTGCAATAACCGCCCACCCTCCCCCCCACACACACATATTGGATGTTCAGAGTTACAGGGCTACATATTTTACATGCCCTTTTCGAACAAGGAAATTTGACAATCTGTTTTTTGTCACCAGTTTGGCACCCTGGGAAAGAAAATTACTCCCATTATTGGATACCATTTTCAACTTTTCAAGTTAGTCCATTCAAAAAAATTATTAATCATGAAATCAAATCACATACAGAATATTTTGGCTTAATAGTTTAGCTCTGTATGGTATACTTAGAAACAATCAGAAACACATAGAGCAGGTAGAGATGGGCAGGAACTGCAATAGTATGTAGACTCCTATCGAACTCTTTTTTTTTTTTTTAAAACAGACTCTGCACTTTTTGCAGGCTATGGGTGGATTCTACAAGAAAGGTACATGCCGCAATATCTCTGAACATTTTCTAATTCAGATGTGAGATAATTAGGTGGCCGTATAAACAAAATATCTGGTAAAAGCATTAGTGTGAATTATAGGAAAGTGTATGACCTTCCCTGTTTCTAAACTTGCATTTCCTGTGGTTGATACACCAACTGGTGCAAACAGGGTTATCGAAGGAGACAGTACACCTCTTTGTTTTTCAGTTATAACAGCTAGTTGTGCTTTCATCACTTGTGACTTTAATGTCTTCAATTTACATTGATTCCACAAACTGTCATTTTGCAAATAAAATATTTCAATATTGGTTTCTTTAACTAGCAAACCCTTAAATATTCAATAGCTCCACTTTTCAATTGACTGTTGGTGCTATGCGAGTAAGATCTTTAATCAATAGATATTATTGTACTTATCAAAGTTGCAAAAATGGTATTCCATGTTTTAAGTGGATTCAGACACAACCGTGAGCAGGTATTTGGAATACTTTGCCCTTTACTTAAGCCTTTCTGTGGCCATTTTGACATAAAACAAGACACTGTGTTCAAAGACCACTCACCCAGAACAAAGATGTGTTGACAGTAGCTGTGGGACATCTGCACCCGTCTACCACGACTTACCTAGGTGAGCACTGTTCAGCTACCGTCCATGCTGTAGCTACATACTTTTTTATTTCTCCTTTTGATGCCATCTTTTTCAGAAACAATCCCTTGTCAAGTTCAACTCAGGTGCTATCCCTCTTCTTAGGAGTAACTCCTTAGCAACCAGAAAATTCAGCAAGTTGTTTCCATGACTTACAATGGTTGGACAGGTGTGGATTACTAGTCTCTGTTTATCCACAAACTGTCCATGTACTTTGGACACTTGAAGGAGTTCTGGTCTCCCGTCCCATTTCTTAACAGAATCTAAAAAGGTGTATATCTAAAAAGGTGTAAATACTCATTTGTGGTAGCCTTGAGGGAACAAGACTTGTAGACTTCTCTCAGGCCACATTCTCCACAATTATAGACTTGAACCAGACAATGAAGTTCTGCAACCTTTTATTTGATCCACACAGTGCAATGAATGAGGATTGCAAAGGGCTGCTAGACTAACATAATATCTGGCTTCCCTTTTATACACTAAACAATATCACATAATCAATATTATGCAATTATTGCAAGATTGTCATGATTATATTTTGGACAAGCACCTAGGTTTGACTTCCGTATCATGAGTTATACTTGTTTTTTCCAAGATTACACCATGGGCACAGCACAGAGGTCCAATTATGACTTTGTTTCATTAACAATGAATTACCTTGTTAACCTACCCAGTACATTGTTTGAAATAACAGACGATGAAATATACTCTATCAAGCTGCCTGATACATTGTTTTAGTTCACTGACTATAAAATATTTTAAAACATTTCAGAACACGAGTTCCACGCCAAGTGTCACGTTAACTCATAAAGAACCTTGGACAGACACAGATGAACCTAATATATATTATATAAAATTGAAGCAAATAATACAAAATGGTTTCTGATATTCTCAATCAATGAAGTATAAGAAGAGAGACTTGGAGACTTCAAAGTCACTGTGGAAATAATGGGTTGTGGAAAAGCATCTGTTGTTAAATCAAAAACTGAATGACAAGTCAAATTGTATTTCAAAGTTTAACTGTACAAGAAATGGTTAACCCCTTAAGGACACATGACATGTCATGATTCCCTTTTATTCCAGAAGTTTGGTCCTTAAAGGGTTAAAGGGACACTCTAGGCACTATAGCCACTTTATCTCATTGAAGTTGTAATAATCCCCTGATAACATGCCTCTGATCAGTGTCAAACCATTTTGAACAGTTTAGCACTGAATGAGGCTCCAAAGAATGTTGTGCTTTAGCTTTAACAGTGATGTGTGCAAGTGATAAGCTAATAGTGTCAGATGGTCGCTCTCAGCATATCACAGCCCACCATTCATGGTACGCATTGGTATGGGGAAAAGTGTGACATTTGCATTAGAGATATCTCCAGGGGAGTCAACCTTCA